TTAATTAATAAGTTATTAAACTTTACTTATAATATAGAAATATGAACTCTATGGTAGGACTTATATAGACTAATAATATTTTCCAGTATTTTAAGAATTTAATATACTGTCTTATTACTGAGGACAGACTAAGTTATAAAAAGAAATATAATAATCTCTGTAAGGTATATATTCTGTATAAATATTCTTATTTATTGATTCCGGGCATATACTTATAGAAAATAGTAAATAAAAAATAGTCTATTATATTAAGATTATTTGTAAATCTTACTTGCTGTTATATTTATGTTTTAAGCTGAGTATATTCTAGATATAATACTATATTATACTACAGAATATATAAATTAGAGATTTCTAATATTAAAATAAATGGTTTTAACAGAGTGTATATTTCCATGATGTATATAATAATATTAATTTTATAAAATAAATAATAAAATTATTATTATCCAGTTTAAGGATTATATTCTTGAGTATACTAATATTATATTTATATTATACCAGTTTTATATTAGTACTACTGTATATAAGCAAGTAGTAATAAATAATAATTATTTAAACTTGAATAATTTATACTTAAATAAAGTAGAAATAATATATTTTATATTATAAAGAAATAGTAAATAAGAAGAGAGTTTATTAAGAAATTAAAGATATTATCCAGCTTTAATTATATTATTATTATAAGTATTAATAAATTATTAAGTACCTCCGTGATCTATATAAAATATATAAAGATAGATTACTTGAGCTTATAAAATATATTATAAGTAAAATAGAAATTATTAATTCACAGATTTATAATCTCAATAAGGAAAATAAACTACTAATAGATTTAGGAATAATTAATTATAGAATATTCTTGTACACCTGGAATAAAGAGAAAGATAAAAATTATATTAAGATTATTCTGGAAGAGTTTTGTTAAAAAAAAAGATATTTTAAAGAATAGAATACTCTTTCACTAAGCTATAATTTTTATTATTTTAAGGAATCAGTTTCCTTGTCTGGTGAAGGCCAGTCAGTAATCTGGAATATATTAAGTTTATGATTATAATTATTCTGGAATCTATGTAAGCACAATCAGGAGTAATATCTTATAAATAATTATAAAATATAATTATTAAATTATATAAAGAATAGAGACTTTTTATTATACTGTAATATTATTAAGTACTGCTATTATATTTTTTGTACTATTATTATATGCCTGAAGGAAATAAGTAAATATTTAAATAATTAGAAGATGAAATAACAGTCTATCTTCTCAGCTTTTAAATATAGGATTTGAAGGGAAGATATATGAAGAATATATGAATTTAAAGAGCTTCTAATTAGATAAATCTTTAATAATATTGATATAGAGGGACAGGATTAGATAAAGATCTATATTAAGAACTAAAGCATATCTTAATAGATCCTGTTTCTAGATATAATAAGTTTATTATATTATTAAATATTGAAGTAAGCAATTTTATTTATAGTATATATTACTGTATAGAGTGTTGTGATCTTAATATTAAGATATATAATATTTCTATAATAAATAATATTTTTTATTATTTTCTGGCAATCACTGGCTAGTTTCCAAAGTTTTTTCTAGTCTAACTCCCAGTAGAATGTACCAGGAGTAGAGGAAGAAATCCTAGTATTTAAATATAGTTTATAGATAATATATATTTGATGGTCCAGAAGATATATATATAATAGTGGTATTTCAGTATATACAGAATTTAAGCAAACTCTGAATATATATATTTATTGAATATATTTATATTATAAACTGGATTAACTAATTTTATTTACTGTCTTTATATTGTCTTATCCCCTGAAATTAGATTATATTAAAAAATAAACCTCAGTATATATTTAAATTACTGGATTACTATATTAATATATTACTTGATACAGAGAAAATCCTGTTTATTAATAATATTTTAGTGGTGATTTTCTGCTGGATCTTATTAGCTGGATATCTGGTTTTTTCTAGTATATTTATATCTTTGCAGGCGTCTGCATTCTTGAAGAAAGCTAGTAATATAAATAAAGTTAGTTAAATAATATATAAAGCTATTTAAAATATTTTCCTTCTTAGTATTATAGTAACTTACTGTTTTATTAGTCTTTATAGAATAAGCTGGCTGTACTATTATAATAGGCAGAATTATATATAGATTAGATACAAGATATTCTTATGGATATAATATATTTTAATTAAAATAATAAAATACTTAATATTCTCTAGACTTGTTCTGATTAATTTAGCTACTAGCTTTTTTAATATTTTTATTAATATATATACAGCCTGAGCTAGGACATGGTTAATTACTGCTACTGTAATTACTGCAGTAACAGGATTCTTTATTATCTTATCTAGAATATTATTTATTTTTTATAATAACTTTCTTTTAGTAAAGCTTTAAAAAGACTTCAATACTGATACCAGTAAATAAGGACGGTCAATATTTATTTTCTGGAAATTAGAAAAAGTTATTCTTTTGGCTCCTTAGTTTCTGGTATATCTATATTTAAATATATATAGAATTACTGCCATCCTAATCTAGTATTAATCTTTTATGAAATCTATATTTGCAGTTTATAAATAATATGATTGAGTAAATTATATTTACTGTTATATTTATACTGTATGATAGTTAAGATTAAGAATAATCCAGAATTAGAGTAATTTTAGTTTAAAGACAGTTACTATTACATTTAATAATACTAGTTATATATATATTTTATAAAAACAGTTCTGTAGTATTATTCCTGGATAGAGTTCTTGGTAATACTGTACAGAATAATATACTAGTCCAAAAGTTATATTAGAATAAATATTATAAACCAGATATATCCTTAGATACAGGAGATATATATATATTCATAGAGTATTTAGTTCTTGGGAGCATACTTAGCAAGTGTTTTAAATGGTACTTTTGTTTATTGGTTAATATATCTGCAAGTAATATAGGTACAGTATTAAGTTAGAGAAGCTAATTTTTATTTATTTAAAATTTTTAAAGATAAAAGCTTGAACAGGGTCTCTTCATAAAACTAAAATATCTATTTTTTGATTTATTATTGTTTATTTAAATATATATATATTATTATTAAAGATCTTCTTTACTATTTCCATAATAAATAACACACTTTTAAGTTGGTCTTTATTTTCTGTAAAACATTATTACAGGGATCTTAACTTCTCAGATTATTTATATAGAGCTTGGTATAATTATTAGTTTTTATTTTTTAACTTAATTATTCTGTTACAAGTACTGTCTAATTCTATTTTAAGCTTTCTTTATTTGGTGTCAGGAGATTTATTATATATTTAGATAGCTTTAATAATATCTTCTTTAAGAGCTTCCTGTAGTTTAATATAATTATTTATTAATAATTTGCTCAGTGGCTTCTTGAATAGGTGGTTTTCTGATTTCTTGTAAGACTATTTATAACTGTTATTAGATAATGGTTATAATTATATTTTTAAGAATATAACCTTATCAGATAGTATATTATTTTCTTGATATTAGCTGTGTCAGACTAAGTACTTTATAACTTATAAATATGCTTAGATAGTGCCTTGTAGTAATTATCATATTTAATATAGTATTTTTTATTTGCTGGATTAGACATGATATATATTGATTAGTTAATATGATTATATAGTATAAGAATATAAGGATGTAAAAGACTTAATAGCTAGCTTAATAGTATAGTAAGATATAATAGACAGCTTTCTTAAATAGAAAAAGTATTTAGGAAAATATTTTATAGTTTGGGCAAAGATTCTTACCATAAACAAGCTCTGTAGTTATAATTATAGTTTATATATTTAATTAAATGATTATACTATGTACAGTACTTTATATAATTATTATATCTAATACTTACTTTTTCTACTCTTTTCTTATAACCTAACTTACCTGTACTGTACTAATATATATCTAATTAGTTTATAAATAGACTTAACAGGTACTAATTTATCTTGTTGTACTATAAGTCCTGGCTCATTTCTAGACTGTATATTTAGATAACAGGTAGAAATTGTTAGTTTCTGAATTAAAATGAAAATATAGGTCTTGGTTATATTAAGTTATGGCTTTATTTTTCTTCCATATTCTTACCACTGTAAAGTATAACTTGTGATATTAATAGACTGGATATTAATCTCAGAGTTAATTATAATATTATACTATTCTATCAGGATTTCTTGTAATATAAGTCTTGTATCTTGCCTGAAGATAATAACACACAGATATATATATAGAAGAACTTGCTTTGAAAGATTATTATTCAGTATAAAAATGAAAATATAGAAAGCTTGGATAAGTATAATTATTAATATAATAAGATATAATATATATTATAGATTTATATTTTTCTTCTAGCTTTTATAAGCAGTGATAAGATTCAAGGAGATGTAATCCAGAGTAAATATCTTTACTAAGAGAAAAAGTATATGGATATTAGTAATAGTTAATTTTGATAAGTCTATGATCTGATAAGACTAAATACTTCATATTTATATACAGTACTGTACATATGTATCATGTACTTAAATATGAAGGCTTATCTTATATCTTCTGTTAGATTATAGATTTCTTTTATTTGGAACATTTCAAATAAATAATAATATTATTATAACTACAGCACCAGTAATAATACTGGTTATTCTTAATAAAGCTCTTTAGTATTCTATATAATATTTAGTTAGATATCAAGAACTTTCTAGTTCTATCAGATATTAAAAATATTCTGGATTCTAATCATGGCCTCTAGCAGCAGATCTTCAAAGATCCTTCTTAGATTAATACTACTGTAAAGTCTGGTCAAAGTTCTCTAGTTCTTATTAACTATAACTTGAGTTTCTTTTACTCTAGAAAATCTTTAAGATGTCTTTATCTTTTCTTTATTATAAATAATATTTTAAGTAATCTTTATAATACTAGTTAAATCTTCTTTTCTACGCTCCAAGACGGCTGGTGATATGATAAAAAAAATTTAAAGTCTACTTCTTATCTGGCATAATCTTGAATATATATAATATTATTAATAGTAATAAGATAATAAAGCTACCTTTAGAAAGAATTTTTATGAATAAAAAAAAGGATATCTACATGGAATACTGCTACTATAAGGATCTTTTATTAAGGAAAGTGCAGCTATCTAATATTATAAAATAGGATTCTTCCTATAAAACAACCTCATATACTTCTTTTAGTTGGTAGAATAGCTTTTTAAGCAAGGATAAAAATATAAGAATAGGCTGTAAACTGATATTTCTGGATAAAAATATAGAAACAGTCTATATTATACTCCCGACGCGCTGGAAAAGAAAACTATAGATAAAAATAATATAGAATAAGTATAGTTATTTATTATATTATCTTTACTTCTGGTTCCTCATATTTATTTATGATTTATAATATTCTTAATAATTTTAGAATAGTTATATTTTATATTAAAAAGATAAGCTGAACCAAGGTTTTCTTTAAAAATAATTTAGACTAGTCTTCCAATCTAAATAATTCTGAACTTAGATTATATTATATATAGTATACCATCCAGTAAAAGTATATACAAGTGATAAATTTTCCTAGATCTGATATTATAAAGAATTTTTCTATAATAAATATATTAAGTCCTAGTCTTTAAATATAAGAATCTCTAGATATATTTTACTGATATTTAAGTATTTTGAACTTCTGCGAATCAATAAAGCCGGCTAATTTATTAATAAGATTACTTGATATTCTGCTTAATTTAATATTCAGAATTAATTATAGATCTTCTAAAGATTAAGATTAAAGAAAGTGATTGAACATGAGTTTTGCCTTTATAATATATAAATTATAGTCTGGAATTCAGAAGTAATATATACCTGTTTTTCTTAACTTACTAGATTAGTTATATTATATATTCTGGGGCCAGAACTCTGGTTTTCTTCTTATTATTAACTGACTTCTCTGATAATTAATCTAGTTAATCTAATATGATATTATAACCTGGAGTTCCTTATAACTAAAGCTAGTTATTACAAAGATTTTATTCTTAATTTCTGTAGAATCACTGCTAGAAACAGACTTTTATAATAGTTAAGAATTTATAATACTTTCAGCCAAATTATTATTTAAAGCTTAGTACTCTCTGTGACCTGATCTCATAGTATATTAGTTTTAAAAATAAGAGCTTAAGATGTTTCTAGTAATTATTATTTTAGTAGAAATAATATATAAGATTAAAAATATAAGTTTTTAATATTTTCAGAGATGATTACATAACACGGGCAGTCTCTAATATTAGATTATATAATTATTTATCTTCAGTATAGTAGATATTAATAGAAGTACAGGCTCTAAATATTAAGCTGTATAAGTTAGTGTAAAATCTCTAGAATATTATATAGAAGTTATTAAAGTATATAGAAATATAGAATAAAGATACCTGTTAGTTTATTTAATATAATAGTTTATAAAGTAAGTAAATACTTTAGGAAATAGACTTTATTATCTAAAGCTAATCTGCAGTAAGAATTTTTAAGTTGGAAGAGATAGAATAGATAATAAACTATATCTGCAGTATATTGTCTTTTTAGATAGAGGGAATAGTTATTATTATGAGAATTAAAATATCTGTTAAGAAAAAAGATATTAATATAAATAAAGAAAGAAGTAAGCTGTATATTATTTTATGTCTTTTATTTCTATATTTCTATAATATATAGGCCTGCAGGAAGTTAAGGTAGTTTAATATTTATAATATATAAGCTTTATATTAGCAGGTCTTAACTAGCTCTATCAGCTCTGCTGGAGTTATAGCTAGTAATACTTTAATAATAATAAAAATAAGATATCTGAGAATTATAATAATTTTTTTTTTAATTTCTAATCCTGCCTGACCTTATATAGCATTATATAATCTTGCTAAGATTATATAATTACTATTAATATAGACTTTTGCTAGGTCTATATTTAATAATAATAATATTTAGATAACAAGTCCAGTAATAAAGTTAGAAGAGTTATTACTCTTAAGAAGCTTATATAAATAGTTAAAGACTGGAGTTAAATTAAGATACTATAAAATATTCTTAGCTTTTAATAATCAGATTATCAAGAATAATTGCTATTTTAGATATAAGAACTACACTTAGATGGAAGGGTACCTAGAAATTTAGTTAAATTAATAAGAATATTAAGGATGTTATCTTATATTATATTTATATAGAGTTTAATTATATCTTATTTTTTTAATATATTATGTTCAGTCTAGTAACTGTAGAATAGATACTAAGAATATAAGATAAATAAAATTATTTATTAAAAGGATTACTAGGATTTTATATTAATATAGTAGTGAATGATTCTGTAAAAATATATTATTTTTTCTTAGATTTCATGATTATCTATATTAATATATATTAAATCTCCTAAGTAAATAATATTTTTATAATTAGATAGAGGTATATATCTAGCCATACTTAGTCTATACCAGGATATTTGTCTGGTACTAGTAATTTTATATATTTATTTAGATTACTGCTGCAGGAAATAAATCTTTTAGATAACAAGCTTAACTATAGACAGAATCCTGGAGTTCTATTTTATGCTAGTTAATCTTATATAATATCTGTCTAATATCCTGAAATAATTCTATTAGCTCATATTTTCATGGCTAAAAAAAGAAAAGCTCCCAGGAGTTAATTTAATTATCTAGTATTCCTGGTATACAAGCTAATTACTTCTATAAATATATCTGTATATACTGTGCCTGATATATATAGTATCTTTTATTTATATTTATCAGGCAAGCAGCTATAATTAAGATATTTTTAAATAAGAATATATTTATACAGAATATATCTGTGGAGCTTATTATCCTGGTTTTCTAAAATCTGAATAATATAAATGACTGCTTGTCTTTCTTTTATATATATAAATAGTTCCATGGGGTTTTCAAAAGATTTTAAATTATAATATTTAAATTAATTATAGTATGTCTGATTACTTCTTCCTGAATATAATTTTTATTAAACTTATTCTTTCTACTAATATACTTGGGCAGATTAATATAAATTATTATAAATATAATATTAAGCTAGGCCTTCTTCAGGATATTTATAAATATCATAATCTAAGGGAAATATTTCTTGAATTTAAGATAATATATAATAAAGTTAAAAAGCCTGTAGTCTCTTAGATAAAGATTAATTAGATAATTAAGATTATTATCTGATAATATATTATAAAGATTCTTTATGATTTATACAGAAGTTCCTTAATATACTTCTATTTTATTTAAGTAATTACAGTGATTTATCCTGCTATAGATAATAGACTCTGTAATTATATTACTAAAGAAGCTATACTAGAATCCAAGGATTTTAATTATATGCTGAACTATGGATATAAATATATAGAATATTCTTGATTTTACCATGTGTTGACAGCCTACTGGATACTAATTAAAAAAATCTGGCTTATAAAAATAATATACTATAAAAAGTCCTTTACTTGAAATAATTATTATAATTAGCTTTAGTAATTATGGACAGATAATCCGGACAGGTCTTTTTAAAAGAAGCTGGATTTGATTAAAGTTATTGAGTTTATATAGGGATATTTAGAGTGTAATATTTTTAAAGAGAGATTTGCCTAATTATCAGGCTGGGTTTCCTAAGTTAATCTAGTATAATTTACTGAAAATAAAACTCCTGATTCTGCATAAGTATTTTTTATTACTTGGATTACTCAGGAATTATGATTATTATATATCATAGAGCTCTTACTTTTGAATTAGAACTCTGAGATAGCATGAGAAATTAATTAGTTAATTTACTTATACCAGTTAGGCTTTTTTGTAGAGTCTTAAAGTATAGAAAAATAGAATAATACAGATTAACCAGATATATAATTCTTATTAAATATCTTGGATAAAAATATTATTAACAGCTTGGTTAATATGGTTGGCAGTGAGGATTCTTATAATTTATATAAGAAGTAATAATATAATTATAAAGATATATAGTAGTAAGGTAATATACAAGAGTATTTATTTAGATATAAAATAATATTATAACAGTTTTTTGAACTTATCATGTTTTCTGATAATATATAATATATAAAATAAAACAGGAGTAAGACTCATATGTTAGTTCTTTTATAATATTTCACCTGTATATTCCAGTATAGTTATTTTTTATTTTATATTTAAAGTAGTACCACTTACAGCCTGATTAAAAAAAGAAAAGAAAATATCTGTCTTAGTATATGCCTAGGTTATGTATTTAATATAACTAAATCTAATTTATTAATTTAATAGTTTAGTATGGAAGTAAAAGCTAAATATTAAGACTATATACTCTAGCTATTTTTAATTATATACTAAGATATTAATATATAAGCATCTTTTTTCAATTAATCTATACTTATATATCTATTATTCTAGTACTTCCTAATAATACCCCTCCATAAAATATTATTAATATTTGGGAGTAAGTCTGCTTTTGGTTAATAAAGATCTGGATTCTCAGAATCAAAGAAATAATATTTATATATATATTAAGATAAAATAAAGTAAAATATATAATTATAGTATATCCAGATACTGGTATTACTACTTACTCTTTTTAATTAGTTTAGTAACCCTGACCTGAAACTATATTAAACTATATTTAAATATCAGGCAGGAAAATCTTTAACCTGCTGTTATATAGTAAATTATTATTTATATTATAATTAAATACTATATTAATAATTAAGCTTTATATATCTCTAATCTATTCTTTATATATCTAATATATCTTACCAAGACTATATTAATACTTGGTTATTACTTGTAATTCAAGTAATATAATAATTCTTAATCTAGCTTAATCAATACTTAATCTTATTTATAATATACTGGTTAGCAGTAAATTAACCATATTATAAATAACTAAAACTGCTAATTATAATAAATACATAATATATTGACTCTATTCTAATTTTTAATTATTTAGTACTCTCAAAGCCTTTTTAATTAAAGGTGGATACCTGTGGAAGTTAACTTTATTAATATTAGAAATTCTTTATAATTATTTAATAAAAAGATTAGATCTATATCTATACTATATAATTCAGAATTATCTTCTATCTATATTATTATTCTCTTTTCTTAATATTCCACTACTAAGACTAAAACC